TATTTCAGTTGCACTGCCTATTAAATGGATGTCGCCCGAGTCGATCAACTTTCGAAGATTCACAACAGCTAGTGACGTTTGGATGTTTGGTTAGTAAATGTTATAATATCACAATATAACTTAATTAACATGAGTTACATTTATGAATAGGTGTTTGCATTTGGGAAATTCTTATGCTGGGCGTCAAACCGTTTCAAGGCGTTAAGAACAGTGATGTAATAACGAAGCTCGAAAATGGAGAGAGGCTACCACTGCCTCCCAACTGCCCACCCAGATTATACTCACTAATGTCTCAATGTTGGGCATATGAACCGCTAAAAAGACCAAATTTCAAACGGATAAAAGAAACTCTTGAGTATGATTGGAAACAAGCTTTTGCTGTATTAGATATATTATTAATATGATTCATATTTTAGAGAAATATTATCAGAAGACGATATGAACTCAACGGAGACATTGAGGCGTGAAAATCGTCGACTTGCAGGAGTTTCTTGGATTGGTAACGAAGACAGCGATATTCCACCATTGAAGCCATCTCGAACAGTTAATGATCCTGGTAAAATTATCTAGCAAAGTTGGCAACTTAATTATTAGTTATTAATTGTTGTTGCTTTTAGATATTCCTATGTTGAATACGTCGGAGGAGAACAAAAGTGTGGCGCAGACCTATATCATTGCCCAAAATCCAGCAGTTCTAGCCAGATTAATGATGGAAAATCAAAAGCGTGGCATTAATCCTGCAGCATACACTACACCCGCTTCGGTATTTAATACTTTAGCCGTAGGCATAGATTCCAGTACATCGAATCATTCGCTTAAAACTACTAAACTCCCCGCAGCGGAGCTCTTCAAACTCGATCCTGTCGCTGATTCAAAAGTTCAAAACAAATTTCCAACTAACAGCAACTCTTCCCAAAACCTTTATCCATCTCCATCTGTCATAAGTTCACTTGACTCCACCCACATGCCGTCATATTTACCCCCTACGAACATTAGACCTCAGCAGGTATCAGGATTTGTGTCAGAGAATTTGCCACTTAAAAATAATTTTATAATAAGTGCACCGCACGCGGATAATGACTTTCACGCAAATCAGTCGCAGACGGACAACAAATGTGGCAACCCAGCGGCTAGAGTCTCAGGTTATAGTCTTTATGGAAGTCTTGAAAGGCATCAGCCACAAATGGACAAGCCTATGCATTCAAAGGGCGGCAGCCTGGAGCGTCATCAATCATTGATGACAGCACAGAACTTTGTCTTTCATAAGCCAAGCACGAGTTATTCTGACCGTTCCAGAAGCATTGAACGCAAGAGTCACTTTAATGCCTATCGCCAACAAATGAAAACGTCAATTGAATGCGACTCTCTGCCAGAGGAAATCTATGACTTTGGCGGTGTTGGCCTCAAGACTTGTGTGTCTGTGAAACAAAATAACGATTCAACATCCTTAACACATGCACCGCCAATGAGTTCTACTCAAATAGGACAAGATTACAAAAGTCCAGGGCAGTGCTTCGCTGGAAATCAAAATATTTTATACACCGAAAATTTAACAAGCGATGCACATGAAAATCCTGGAGAGCCGCAATGGACGACGCATTCTTATCCACTTCAGGTGGAACTCAAAAGCGATAATTTGGAAGGAGCAGCTTGTATTCAAATGAATTCTGAAGTGGGAAATCAGGTTTGGCTGGACGAAGTATTATCCTGACACATGACAAGACGTCTTTATCTTTTTTGATTTCCTTTTTTAGTTATATTATTTAATTGGTTTATCTTAAGTTATGTCTAACAGAAATAATTTACTCCAATGACATACAATAATGTACAATTTTAATTTACAGACAATTCCTAACCCAATTGTGGATAAGCTATGGCAACAGCGAAAAGACAGTAACAGTGATGGTGAATGGCTGTATCAGGAGGAAATGGTGGTAAGCTGAGAGTTAAGTAACAATGAAGCTATGCATTAAAGTTTTACTTTATAGAGAAAGCGATCTAGTCCAATAACATCGGGAGTTGATACAGATATGGGAAAACATCGATCTTACCAGCCTGACATGATATTTGAGGGTACAACGGGCTCTTTGGATTCTGCCAACTCAAAGACAAGACCAAAATTACCAAATACCGTTTCTCTCAAGTTAAATAACTCGCCATCTGATCACATGGTATCTCAGTCAGCAGAAGACAGCACAAAGTCAAGAAACAATGAACATCGTGATTCGTTACGGCCAATAAATCGAGCAAATGATGAGATTTACTGTGCTACAACAGCAGTTGTCAAATCAATTATGGTGCTTTCGCAAGGTGTAGAAAAGGCGCATGTCGATGGCTACTTAAATTTGGTTAAAAATGTGGGAGTGGAGCTGCGAAACCTTTTGAAATCGGTGGATAATATTTCTATACTCTTTCCGGCTCAAGCCCTAAAGTAATTTCGCATGTTAACACCAATATGAATGTAATATTTAAAGTAATTGTTTTCGATTTACAGAGAAGTTGAAATGGCACACAAAGTTCTCTCAAAGGACATGCAGGAGTTGGTTTCGGCAATGCGATTAGCGCTTCAATACAATGACACTACTTTGGACAGTGAATATCGAAAGTAATTATGTCATACGAATATAACGAAATTCTTTTATTAATATATTATTTTCTCTTTTATAGGAGTATGTTATCTGCAGCACATATCTTGGCCATGGATGCGAAGAATCTTTTTGATGTTGTCGATTCAATAAGGAATCGATATCAAATTTTCGCCATTCCCAACAGAAAAGCTTCAAGTGGATCATTGAGTTGTGAAACCAGTCAATCGCCTGGCGGCAACGGTTCTGCCTCATCATCTCTTTCTATTGGTGTCGAACCCTTAAAGTGCATGGCTGACATAAGTCTGTACGACAATGAAAACTTACACCAAAGCTTCAACGCACAACACTTACAAACATCTAGCTGCAGTGGCAGCATTATTGATGGCAACAGTCAGGGCAGCTTACACATAGAACATGAAATTAATCATGACGGGCGCTCCAATGAGCCCTTGAAAATCATAGAAGACACATTAAATAATCCAGCCGAGCATATGTATTGCAACACATCCACCGTACATGGCCACGCATAAATAATTAGCTTGCTAATCCTATTACTTCATATTAATATATCTTGAATCTTAAGTCTACAGATAGTATATGCTAACATTCTGTGTATATAAGAAACCAAAATACGTATGTACATATGTTTTTTTCACAAAAGCGGAATTCATCTCAAGAACTCATAACACACATAACATTAATAACATAAATATTGCATGTTCATAAAAATATGACGAACACTCAACGTCGGCCGGCCGCAATGGAATGCATTATTAAATCGTCAAGTAGTCAAAAATACATTAAGGTACTAAATATGTTTATGTAACTCAAAAAATATTAATAAATAAACACGAAAAACATTCGACTAAACGATATCCTGCCTTGTGCCGATTAATTTCATGTTGACATGTGTTTTATAATCAAACCGGGTCCAAATTGAACTATAAAGTCAAGGTAGTTAGTATATTAGTATCAATGCAATATATTAGAATATGTCAAGCCGTCCAATCGAAAAGTATTTATAGTTTGAACTAAATCAATTTATTTTAGTTTGAAGAGTTACTAGCAATAGCTGTAAGAAAGTTAGATCAGTTAACAAGAATAAAATGCCTATAAACCAAATAACATGTTTGATCAAATTTTGATTTAGCGCTTTTAATTCAATGAAGGCAATTTGAGATTAGACAAAGAGATTTACAATTTCGGCTTTAAACTAAACAGAGTAAAAGACATTTGAAAATTTGTTCCACTGATTTGAAATATATGATAACGAGGAGACTTGTATTTAAAGATATATTTAAATAGAACTCTGATAGATTTTCTATGAGTAAATTGTCTGTTCAATCCATTCCTCCAATGTAAACGTTGCAGTTTCGTTCTTTTCCGTATCTCTTTCTCTGAATATTTCTGAAATGAAACAATGTTAGATATAATCGAATATAATTTGCAACTTATATATATAATATATTTTGAATTACCAATATATGTTTTTATTTTCACTGCACACATGAGGAAATCATCAAATGCGATCTTGCCATCTCTCGATCCATATCGATGACCCAAGGCATTTAGAACACGATTGTTTAAGTGGTAACCTGCTGAGTTGAGCGCCTCGCGTAGCTGAAAGCCTGAAATTCTCCCCGAATTCTCAGTGTCGTATGTTTTGAATATAGCCTTCCATTTAGCGATATCCGAAAGTAAAGCCTCAAACTCCTCAAAGCCCAGTTTACCAGACTTATCTGCATCCAACATCGCTACCATCGAGCGGCAAACATCTTTGGAAAAGCCATGTGTCTCATCGACAATGGCTGTAATTTGGAATAAGAAATG